GCTATTAATTTATTATAATTATAGCTCATTGTATTTACAACAGTCAATTTGGATTTCTTGATGGAACTTCAATTTCTTTAATGCTAACAAAAGTTTTTCTTTTATTTCCAGAAGCAAATACTGTCGAGTTAATTGAACGTTTCTTTATAATATTTTCAACCTGGTAAATTTCCATAGTGTTGATTTAGTAAATTATTTAAGGGATTGGCATGTTCCACTTCGGATTAAAAACAAGCAAAATAAAGAAAATAAGAACGAGACATATGAAAACAATATGAAGGTTTACATTCCAGTGTATCCCGAACATTCATTAACGAGCAACATAACAAAAACAAATCAACAAATCATTTTGAATGCATTATTAATTGGCATTTATTTTTAGTTTAATAATATTTTTATAGGGGTTTAGGATTAAAAATTGCTATTTAGTTTTAAAAGATAACAGAAAACTAATATATAAACAATGTATTGGGTGGGCTTCTAATGGGGCATGGGCTTCTATAAAGGCAAGGGCGTTTATTCTGCAATACTCCTCATCTTCAATACCACTAAAATAAAGCTGACTAATCAAATTTTAAATATTTTCTGAGCAAATTAACTAAAATTAATGACAAATTAATTATAGGTCTTCAAAAAGCGGTCAAATTTTCGTCAAATCAACCAAATAAAAATGAATTGGTCTATATGAAAAATAATGCTGAAGGATCAGAATTTATTAAGACTGTGAATTATAGTTATATTTTAATGTAAAATATTTTGAAAAATTTTCAGTACGAACATTTTCTTGTCTTTTCCTGTATTACTGAAGAGGAGGAAGGACAAGTTAATCATTGCGGATTTTTGGAGAATTTGGATAAAATAAATGAACAAATAGAGAAAGTTAATCAAATAGAAATATATCATATGGGCTTAAAAACGGAAGACTGTCCTACAGAACTTCCAAAAATTAATAATGCGGATGTACAACAATTTCATGTTGAAGAAGAGGAACAATCAGAAAGGTGAGAAACTTCAATTTCTTGTGTTTTGATATCGATAAATATGTGTTAGTAACAGTTTGTTAACACAGTTTTGTTGTGTAGGAGATAAAGTCCATTGAAAAAGCTCTAGTGAAATAATTTGCGCTTTAATACAACTGTATCATATTTTTCTTTTGGCAAATCTTTTTGTGTGATGAAAATGATAAAGGCTCGCATAATTCTACTCTTTCATCTCCCAACTCCTAGAATATTTCTGGACAGTAAACTGAAAATACATTATTATTATAGTAAAGTTGGAAGTGTGCTGGGCAGAGGGATGCTCGTGCGTGGCCAGCGCACTCATCGCTAATCGGATTAACTCAACTATTCTTTCGTTTCCGAAAGAAATAAATATAATCATAAACAAAACCAGACTGTCACTAATATTTATTTTACATTTCAAAATACAATTTAAAGTTTTATAATAATAAAATAGAAATTCAATTACATAATTGACTAGTGGGGATACAATTTATTTATAAGTGATTAAATTAGGCGGGATTAATTATAAGAGGGGATATGACTTGTTGCTACAGAGTAGGGGAATTTGATATAAGGCCATTTAAGTCTTATTATATGTAATTAACATCAACAAATTTTACCAATTTTCTAAATTTCAGTATTTATTTTTGCACTTCATGGCTTGTTGGAATTCAAATTAAAGACGAATCCTTGGACAAGGAAATGTTGAAATTTGAACTAGAAAAGGGTGTTAAAGCAACTGGAGTTAGTAAAGATTTGAAAATGTTTGTTATATCAACAGAAGAAATTGAAGATTGGTATAAATTAAAAATTATATGTATACTATTTAATAGAATTTTAGGGGATTTGAAGTTAATCAGAATGTGTAATGATTTGAATAGCACTAGAGAAACATCGATTCAACGCTATAAATAATTCCTATGAAATAAGTTTAGTTTCTGCAATTATTCTTTTTAACTATCAATTTTATTAAATGCACTTTTATTATTTAAAATCTTATTTCAATTTATTTTTGATTCTTGAAATTTTCAATTTATTACTAATTTAATTTATAGCAACCTTAGTAAAAAGTTAACGACATATAAAAGTACAATTAATTCATGTGAATTGTTTAACTCATAAATTCAACTTGAAATTACTTGATCTTCTTCCATCAAACTTTAATTTGTTAAGTGAGAGTTTCATCAATCATAGACTAAAGAGCCTCTATATGCCTATCCTCTAAATGCTTCGGAATAAATACCTACAAAAACAGTCCGACGCGTGAATGACGTCACTAATTCGATTTCATTTAATTTTAAAATCAATTATTAATTAAAAATCAACACAAGTATTTATTAAATTTAAATATACAGTTAAATTCAACAACTACGGAGATTAATTTTTCTTTCGTTATTATTGTCTAAAACCTAATTCTTAACGAATTTTAAGATCTAACCCTCGAGAGGACCACATACAATTGACCGTGACTAAACACATCTTTGGTTAAATCTATTCCTAATCTCTTTAATGCTGCTCTTGGGCCTTTTCACAGTCATTGCAGTCTAACACCAATGGGAATTGATGCCTATGTAAATCAAATGTTACTCTCCATCGCAACACAGAGTGATGTCTGATCTGCTCTATCTTCAGTCAAAAGTTAAAAACTATAAAGTTTGGTTTTCTATGTTCAAATTTCTAATAGAAAGAGTTTGCAATAGTTTAGCCACCGGGCAGGATTCGAACCTGCAACCATCTGCTAGTTGTAGCTAGGCGCTTTCGCTCACTATCTGCAGGAGTTCTACCTCTGAGCTACCGGGGCATCGACTAATGCTTTCTCTTTTTCCTTTTTAGATCGTTTAACCCCCGCCTAAGCGTTTTAAATGCTGCTGGGTGAATCATCCTTAAATAATCAAACTAGCTATGGTATATTTCTTTAATCTTAATCATGTAATGGAAACCCATTTGGGCTGAATGAGTTCAAATACACGTCCAAATACTTGTCTAATATTTGTCTTTCTTCATTCTCAGCTTTGTCTCTTGTACAAAGTTTCGTTGACAGGAAGCATATTCAAAACTCTATTATTCGAATGTCTCACGTCGATAGTTTTCGGCGCAACAATAGCCATATTGGCCATCATATTCCAATCATTATCTATAATCACATTTCCAAAGAGCTTAGTCCAATTTTAGAATTGTTTAGAATTGCTCATATCTAAATTAAAACCAAATTTATTATGCAATGTTCTACCTCCTGGTAAGAGCGTTGACGCAATCCCAGTAAAGGCCATATTGCAAATTTTCTTATTGATTCCTCTTATCAAAGGAACAAGTGTACAAAGTACAAACGTCTTTCCTGATCCACCTGGTCAGCTGAGAAAATAGAAAGCCGTTTTCGCATCTGGATTGGAGATTTTATTCAAAATCTTATCTACTATTTCTCTTTGCTCGTCGTTTAGTAGCTCGTAGCTACGACGACCTATATCTAATTCATCAGCAATATTAAATTGCCCTTCAATACTATTTACTTGGTTCAAAGCCTTATATCCTGCCTTCAAAGTTCCGAAGTTTTGAATTTTGAACAAACCCTGGCTGAAACAACTTCGACCGTCTATGGCCCAACATTTTCCATATGGAACAACATCACACGTATTTGGAAAGAATTATCTTAATAGATCCTTTTTCCATGTTTTAACGACCTCCCGTAATGTTGAAACAGCGTTTCCCGTTGTTGGTTCTTTGTTGCTGAACAAGGCCGAAGGAGAAACCGTGAATTTCCGTTATAGAAAAGAAATAGGTATTGAAGGAAATTATTCAAATTTATGTGCTCAAGTCGCAAATTTAAGTAAAAATTTCTGTTCAATGAGAGTACATTTGTACGTAAAACAGTACGCATATAAACCGTAAAATGGGGGTAGGGATAACGGAAAAGTGCTAAAAATTTTTATAATTTTAACAATACTTTCCGTCATAAGTGGTGTATTTTTATTTAGTTTAGTCTGGAAATTTTGGCCGTTTCGAAACGAAATAAATTTTTTGTTTCATTACGAAACAAATCAAAAGGGAAAAAAGTGTACGAAAGTGCTTAACGAAACAAACGAAATTTCGGTCATCCCCTAAAAATAAATAATATTTTATAAAAATAAAGTGCAATCAAAAGATAAAAGACAATAAGATTAGTACAAAATTAGAGGTACAAAAATTTAAATTTAAAAAATCTAAAAATGAATAATAATCTTAAAAAATAAAAGGGCAATCAGATGATTCCACATAATGTAAAAGTACAAAATTAGCAGTACAAAAATTAAGAAAGCTAGCCCAAAACACGCCCCTCCTTTCTCAGCTTAGCAGGCCTTTAAGCCCTCCTCCTCTCTTCCTTTAAAACTCTGTCCTCCCCTCCCCAATTCATCATTTTATTTAATATATTCAAATTAAAATTTTCTAACTATAGTATTCTACTTTATTAAGTGTTGTAAAACGCGCGTATATCTCTTAAAGTTATAGGTGTATGACTGTTTTTGATTCAAGGCTGTGAAATAAATTTAATTAACTTTAAATTATAGCGATGCATTTAAAATTTGCTTTGTTATTTGTCCTTTTTTTCGTTGGCATTTATTGCTTTCGTCATGTTGGTAAAGTTAAAGCGCCAACCCGAGGAGTTTTGGTTCCAAAAGTTAAGGCAAGCAAGTTTGATAAAAACAATGAAAATGATAAAATGAATAATGATGAACTGACCAAGAAGGTTAAAATAATTGAGGAAAAATTTGTTGAAGTTAGCAATGTAATATAATTTTTAAATTAATCTACGGGTTAGGTATAATCGGCTACTAGCATAATTTTAAGTTGAATGCTCCGCGTGATTCCTGCAAAAAAATAAATAGTCTCTACTTTATTCTCTTTTAAATATTATTTTCACTTGGAAAACTCTTAGTGACTTTTATCTCTCGATAGAACTACAGAAAATTCTTAATACATTATTTATAGAAGCTAAATGAAAAGCAAAAAACAAACATTAAAACAATGTTGGACATTGTCAAACGCTTGATTGATGGAAATGTTGAAAATATGAGTGAACAGCTCTCGGTCGTTCAAAATGCGGCTGCAGCACTTTATGAGACATTTATGCCAAATAAATTAAATTATGAAGCTACGACAATTAACGAAGAAAAATTGAACAACCAAACATTTTTGAACCAGATTCTTTACAATCTTTTGAAGGGTGTTGAAGAAGGTAGTGAAGTTGATAATGAGACAATGGCAACTGCAATCGCTATTTGGGAGTATTTCATTTTTAAATTTGAAATTCCATCAAATACCGAATGTAACAGTGACATGAATACTAGCGGAAAGAAAAAACGTAAGTAAATGTAAAATACAGTCTGACCAAAAAGTAATGGGGCACGTTATTTATACGGTACGGAACAAAATTCCGATCTCTAGTTTATATGGCCGCGACTTATGCGCCGCGACATTTGCGCCGCCATTGTTCAAAAAAATCCGGATCCGAAAAATGCCGGATATCCGAAATTTTCAGTTCGGATATCGGATCCAAATATCCGAAGATTTCCAACTATCCGACAACCCTACTAAAGTGAGGTCCGACTCTAGTTATTGATATATTTTTAATGATAGTGGCGGCGCAAAAGTCGCCCGGCGCAAAAGTCACTCGGCACATAAGTCGCGGCGCAAAAGTAAGTCGCGGCGCAAAAAAGCAAGAGTCGCGGCGCAAATGTTCTCGGCACAAAAGTCACGTAACCGTTTATATAAGACAAATAGAGAAAATGAGCGAGCTATGTTCTACTTGGCTTACAAGATTGTGAAATAACGCAAGAGACGCAAGGGAAAAGTAGAGATAGGAGTCAGAGTTTTTGAAAATGAAAAAGAAAATTTAAAATGTTGATAGAACATTTTAAATTTCACAGCGAACTACTATATTATGGAGATCCATGATAGCAAAATCATTAAGCAAAAGAAAGGTATTCACCCATTCTCTTCTAAAGGTTGCCTCAGATTATCTAATGATAGGAGAGGAAGAATCATTAGAATAAATATTTGTTCAAGGACTAATACATATTTGTATTAATCCAAAATCTTACCGCATCAATACTATACCAGTAATAGTGACTTAATTACGATACTTTTCGTAGTACCTGCGTACTTAACGTGCCGAGGACTAATTAAAATATAAATGAGCCATTAATTTTTATTTTTATAGATGCCTATTCATTTAACAAAAAACAGTCACAAAATCGACATAAACGCGCTCCTTGTGATTGCCCACCTGAAACACTAATCGAAATATGTATGAATATAGTATTTTTTGTCCTTCTTATGATGGTTTTCTTACCAAAGGTGCATATTGATTATTATTTACCCTAGGACTGCTCTCTTTCATTCTTTTTTTAAATCTTGTAGCTAGAATGCTTGGAATCTTACAGACTAGAAAATATAAATTAATTTATGGAACATATTAAACTACATATAAATTACGGACATTTTAATTTTCATAATTAATTTCGGATTTCGATTATAAAAAAACTTCTGATTATTATGTATCCTAGGACTGCTCCGTGTTTCTCATTTAAATCCTAAAAATATATTAAATTTAATGATTTTAAAAGCACCTTTGCAGATTCCAAGTAACCACATTTTTCTTTATTACCTTTATGTACATATTTTTAACACTTTTTCGGAATATTGTAGTATGGGGTTTGCTGTTCAGGAATTTTCCCTTCTGATATCGACTTAGAAATGGATAGCAGCTGATGCTTCATATGTTTAGTTTTAGTACATTTATGTCAAAATTTTTCACATTTATTTTGTGCATGTGCATGCAGTCCAGTAAATTAGAGCAATTATTAATTTTTTGATATGAGGGATTGTTAATCTCGTAAACTTGGCAATAGTTGGGTGTAATTTAAATTGCAGTTAATGCTTATTTATCACTCCAGGCAAGAGTCCTACCCAATCTAATTCAGAGTATATAACTTAGTCCATAAATATCGAATCATGGAAGAGCTAGTATTTTTGGCTAGTCGAGGCTCATTACCGGGACGTTTCGGCAAAAATGTTTAAATTTATAGTTCGACGGTATATTGGACTAATATGTTGGTCTGCTCCTGTAGTAATTTTTTGGATATATAATTTTTTTATTTTAAAAGTAGATAAATTTGATTTTAGCTTTATTTTTTATTATTAGACTTTGATATCAGTTTAAGATAAGATTTGTTTTTCTAGTTTGGTGACCAAAATTCCGCTAGTGACCAAAATTCCAAAAAAAATGGTGACCATAGAATAAGGTAAAATTAGAATAAGGAAAATTGGGATTACGGAGTTCTTTAATGTATCTCTGGGGGTAGGGGGTTCAAGAGAGACTTTATTTAAGTGCATGTGAGTCGTGTGATTTACTCGCATGTCATTTGTCTATAAAATAGAAAGTCACACACTCTAAATTATACATGTGAAGAGACAAATAAATAAATATTTGGGTAATAAATATTTTTTTATCCGAGGTTTTCAAAATCTTAGCTCCGGCTCCGGAGCCGGGCTCCGGATCTAGCTCCCGGAGCCATACCTAGCACTGGATAAGATTCTTTTTTTAAGTTTGGTGACCAAAATTCCTATTGGTGACATAAATTTAAGTGCCCAATATTCCGTTTTTTGACTTTGTGACCAAAATTCCGCTAGTGACCAAAATTCCAAAAAATGGTGTCCATAGAATAAGGTAAAATTAGAATAAGGAAAATTGGGATTACGGAGCTCTTTAATGTATCTCTGAGGGGAGGGGGGTCGAGAGGGCCCAAGGCTGAAAAGCGTCTTTTAAATTAAAATTCTTTTTTTAAATCTAACTTTATAATTCTAATAATGAAAATGCACTTTATGTAAGTGCATGTGAGTCGTGTGATTTACTCGCATGTCATTTGTTTATAAAATAGAAAGTCACACACTCTAAATTATACATGTGAAGAGACAAATAAATAAATATTTGGGTAATAAATATTTTTTTATCCGGGGTTCTCAAAATCTTAGCTCCGGCTCCGGAGCCGGGCTCCGGATCTAGCTCCCGGAGCCATACCTAGCACTGGATAAGATTCTTTTTTTAAGTTTGGTGACCAAAATTCCTATTGGTGACATAAATTTAAGTGCCCAATATACCTTTTTTGACTTTGTTGTGACCAAAATTCCGCTATTTACCAAAATTCCAAAAAATTGGTGACAATAGAATAAGGTAAAATTAGAATAAGGAAAATTGGGCTCGGGAATCGTTAAACGGAGCGTTGCTGTTTTGCTGTTTTGGCTCAAACAGCAAGTATTTTGGCTCAAACAGCAAGGATTTTGGCTCATACAATAATGATTTTGGCTCACACTCTCCGAAAGCAATATCCTATACATATCCCTCGCCCGCCCTCGAAAATATGACACTCCACTTCCTTGCTCTAAAGCATGACTCTTCGCACCTCCCACAATCTCCATATAAAGCTAAGTCCTTCACCCACAATTAATTCATTCTATTAATAACCTCATTTTAAAATTTAAATTAAAATAAAATTTGGTCATTTTAATGTTATAAACCTCGTAAAGTTATTAATTAAAGTTTGTAAAATAAATTAAATTAATTTTAATTTAAAGCGATGCGCTTAAAAACTGCTTTGTTGTTAACCTTATTTTTTGTCGGCGCCATCATGATAAAACATGATGGCCATCATGGTAAACGTAAACCGAAACTCCGAAAGAAAGTCGGAGTTGCAAATTTTGGCAAGGCTGGGGACAATGTTGGGGACAAAATGTTTGTTGGATTGGAGAAAAAAGTTGAACAAATTGAGAAAAAAATTGAGGAATTTGACAAAGTAATATATAATTTATTCAATAATCTATAGATTATTTATAATCCATTTTCTAAAATGTCTAAATTGTGTCTCATTAATTAAATAAAAAACTTATATAGCAGTAAAGCTAAAAGCTTTAAAAATTGGTGAGGCTAAATGAAATGTGTTTTTAAGCAGGATTTGAGGAGCCTCAGACTCGTAGGTGGCTATTTTAGTATCTTAGTCGGACGGCTCCAGGAGATTTGGGGAGTGGACAATTGGGGAGTAGACATTTGGGTATTGGGGATTATAAAAATAATTTAAAAATAGATTTTTCGGACAATAAAAATAATTTATACATTCTTTAAAATGAAATAGGAGAGACAAAGTTCTAGATGGGGCACAAACTTCTAGTTTTAGTATTCTAGATGTGCCCTACAGAAAATGTTTAATAAATATTTCTAGGTTTTAATGAACGAGGAAAAACTAGAAATCGAAACAATGCTGAATTATGTCAAAGACATGATTCAAGGAAGTGTTGGAAATATGAATCAAAAGCTTTCGGAAGTTAAAGTTATGGCTATAGGAATTTATAATGAATTTATGTCACATTTCGATTACATTGCGACATACAAAGTTAACGAGGAATTGATAAACAACGAATATTATTTAAATAATATTCTCAACACGCTTGTGAAATCTCTTGAAGATGGTAAAGTTGATCGCGACACAATGTCAAATGCATTTTTTATTTGGAAGTATTTCATTTATAATTATGATTTTCTGTCAAATAACGAATCCATCCATGACAAGACTGCTAAAGGAGAGAATAAACGTAGGTTTGCAATAGCGGTACTTGTGGGTTATCTCATACCAGTTTTTGCGGACAAATTTATGCGGACATTTTTTAAAGAATGGTCAGTCTTCCTTTCTTTTTCGGTTTCACCCAATTTGTTCTGTGGCAAATTTCAATGAGAACAGATCATCAATTTTTTCCCTCTCTCGCTCAATAAAACACAGACAAAAAAGAGAAACTCAATTCAGAGATGTCCCAACGGACGATTTAGATATCATTCGACTCCGTTCGATTTTTGGTGACATTGGAAGGAAAAACTAATCTTTTCCTCGTCTTTTCCTCGTTGATGTCACTCATTGAATGCCACAGAACAAATTGGGTGAAACCGAGGAAGAAAGGAAGACTGACCATTCTTTACAAAAGTGTCCGCATAAATTTGTCCGCAAAAACTAGTATGAGATAACCCACAAGTACCCAATAGCTTAACAAAATAAGAGAGCCTTTTCAATTTAATGAGTTAAATACATATAAGCGAAATAATTTTTATATTTTATAGATCATTTCATTTTTAAAAATGAATTACCAACTCGTCGTAAACGCGCTACAACTGACAGCTCAACTCGTCCGCAACATATACTCAAGTTTGGGATAATTGTGGCAAATATTGCAGCTATTTGTCTTTGTGTTTTACTTTGGAATCACAGTAATTTCACCCTTCAGATTCCAGCAGCCAACTAAACGAAAGCTTGAAAAATGTATTTTCTTCGGTTTGTCGAAATTTGCGAACTCTTTTTCTATTTTTTAAGTTTTTAAAAATTTATTTGAACCCGGAATCCGGGTCCCGGATAACGACTACAGCGTTAGCTGTACATTTATTTACCAGACATATTTGTCATTTTATGTCTAAATCAGGGCTCTCATCGACAAAATACCAATCAAGAGTACGCAAAACTCGATTTTAGAATACATAGGGACAAAATTTCCAAATTTAAAGTACACTCAAAATTAAATTAGAAAAATGAATCTTTTTATTATTACCCAAATGAATCTTTTCTAATAATTTCTTGTTTCCACTGAGCATTATGTGCATTTCAATGCATGACATGTCAAAATTCGCTGACACAAGAAGTAAAGCCCTAACTGTCTTAACCTCAAGCGAGCTTCGCTGCTGCCAGGCCCGTAGCCAGGATATTTTTCGGGGGGAGGGGTAAAAATTTTTCTGCGCCTAATTTTTGGCACCTTCGGTGCCAAAAATTTGATTTTTTGCGCCGCAGGCGAAAATTTTGAGAATTTCAAAGGTCGAAGGACAAAAAAATTCACTTTTTTGCCCAATCCCTTCTCCAATTTCATTTTCAATCCAAAATGTTGATTTTAAAGTACATACTCTCAATAAAGTACAAATTCAATTTTGAGAGTACGGAGGTCGATTTTAGAGTACTGTACTCTGAAATAAAGTACGAATGAGAGCCCTGGTTTAAATCTTGTAAATACCCAGAATGCTTGGAATTTTATTAGGATTGTAATTTCCTATACTAGAACATTTTAGAAGTCTGATACTAAGGGTGGCCATTTACAAATCACCAAATGGGACATGGCTTTTCAAAAAATGGGGCAAAAAAGGGGGCCATAAAAAGAGGCAACAGGCCCCCAGTCGCAATTACTATATGTAAATTATGGACTTGTTTAGAATTTGAATACAGATTTCGATCGGTAAATTTTTTCGATAGCGAAATTTTAAAATATATTTAGTAGTATAAAAATTAAAATTATGTTAAGGA